GGGATCAAAGTGGTGAACCAACCAACCGACAGACTGACACTGTGTGGCTGATACAAATACAAGAGGCACACAGATGTAAGACACAATCAACTTGCCAAGTTAGTGTGAGTTATATGTAGGTAATCAGCGCTGTATGTGATGCCTTAAAACTATAATGATGCCTGCACCCTAATTATGTAAATCTACATTTATTTTGTATTGCAATTTTGATTCTTTTCTGTAGAAATGTTTGACATCTGCACATGTAAATACCTGCCTGGGAGCGTAACTCCAGGCTCGCTAACAGAACTGTCAAATATGTTTGAGAGTCGATCACAAAGACTCAGGAAAGCAAATGCATCATAGTGTGCAGTCCATAGCAAGGTGATTTTGGGGTTCAGATTTAAAAGACTATTGAAGATAATGGCATAATACAACTTCCAGGCAGGAAAACCTGACAATACTGACAATTTTGTTGTTGATTTTACCACATTATGTATTCATTCTCAAGATAAAAGGGTTTCTAACAATGAGACAGAGTGACAAGTCTTCTGGAAAACATGTTAAAAAGAATAAACTGAGGATTACATTGGAAATTCCATCAATCATGTATCGTTTTTGGGACAAAAATCAATACAGATGCTCTTTCAAAATCTTTTTTAACCATGCGTGTGTAGCCTAGTTATCATTGTAGAAGCATTTTCCCTCCCTTATCTGTATCATCTCATACAGAGGTGAACACTGTGCACACATATGGCTTTCATGTATTGTTCTGTACCGTCTGTGTACATGTTCTCTGTATTAATTCCCTCGTGGTGTCTGTGTGTTTCCACTGCACACTGTCAAACAACATGCTCGCTGGATACACTGGACCACGCAGGTTTTCAGAATCTTGCAGCGTCTGTGTTTCCCACATTCCCTCCCCTGGTGGTTTGGGTGTTTATTTCAGTGAGCCATTATGCAGCGGAGCCGAGCAATTTGGTGTTGACTGAAATAGTTGATTCTCTTGGCAGCCTTCTCTGACTTGCAATTATTTAGTGAGCTGTACTTAATTGAAAAGAAATCCCCGCAGACACGAGATGCCTGAGTTTAAAGAAGATCTGTTCATACCCCAAAATTCCATGTGTGACACTCGGATACAGACGGTTTTGTCATCTTCTCTGTGAAATTCCTTGTCGCAGCGAGCTTTAAAGTGCACGCACTGCTTTAGTCATGCCAGAGACTGTAGAGCGATGTGAAAACATCAACAAATAAAACACAGAATACATCAGAAAAGTCAAAGCAGTGTTGTAAATGCATGATAAATTTATGGGGGAGCTAAACCTGGGTAAGCTTTGAGATACAATACAAAGGTAAAAACATCAAGTTTAAAGGAGTAGTGCAACATTTTTTAAATATGCTTATTCACTTTTTTAGCAGAGACATCGATGGGAAGATACTAAGCAGCTCAAGCTGACTTCCGCTTAGCTTAGCTTAGCATAAAGACAGGAAACAAGGGGAAACAGCTAGCCTGGCTGTGTCCGAAGGTAACAGAATCCACCTACCAGCACCTCTAAAGTTCACTAATCGGCACGTTTCATCTTATTTGGGAAATCCAGAACACAAACCAACAAACAAGAAGCAATTGTATACACAACAATTCATGGATTTTATCAGAGGGAATGTTGAGAAGTACGACATTGCCTCTGATAACGAAGGATTATGTGCAGGACTGTGTCTTGGAGAGTTAAACTTCTAAAACTGGGCTCAGTCTACTGGAGAAAAGAATAGAAAGCCTTTATTGTCATTGTACAAAGAATATACAGTGAGATTAGGAGTGCTACATCTGATCAGGTGCCAACACGTCAATGAAACAAACAAGTAAAAAAAAATACATATAAAAATACAACATAATCAGTCATAAAATCGGAAATTAATATTAAAACAAAAATGTAGGCTGTATCAAGCTGTGCTTATTAAATGGAGTATTGCACTAAGACGAAGTGGATTGCAGTATTTTATTTAAAAAAAAACATTAAAAAATATAAATATGTTTTGATTCATCAGCCTGATGGCCCATGGGTAAAAAACTGTTTTTTGAGTCTATTTGTGCATAAAATCAAAAGCCATCCAACTGTCAACATGTTTTGCCTGATCGTAAGCTAGATGCACTAACGCACATACAAACAATAAGCACCACAGAGAGCCAAGAGCCACTGTGACTTTACACACCGCCGCCATCTTATGGAAGATTTATTCCTGATTCACTCTCCTGACAGAGTTGGAGTTGACCGGTCTGGAACCTTGGTCGGTACCAGTGTTCGGCCCAGTTTATCTTGTAATGTGAGAAATTTACAGATCAAGTCTGAAATCTCCATAACTCCTCGCAAGCTCATCCAGGCTGCCACAATAATTTGAAACATGTTTGATATTTAAGATTTGAAATCTTAGATGATTATGGTTATGACAGTGTCAGTATGGAGCATAGACGATATGTATGCTCTACATTGTCCCACTGTACAAAAATGAAGCCAAAATAGACTGGATACAGCCACTGCCATCTTGCAGTGGTGATGTCATTTGGAGCCAGAGTCTATTAGGGATGTCCCCATCCAGCTTTTTCACTTCCGATCCGATACCGATATTACAGCCTTGAGTTTTGGCCGATACCGATACCAATCCGATCCAAGCGCGTATTATACATATTCACTTATTTTGTTGTCTGTCATGTTAGAAAAGGTTTGATCAAGCAATAATACTCTAACAAGAACAACTATTTAATTGGGTTAGTTAGAATGATCCACAACAGTTGGTATGAGAAACTGACCTGTTTATTGTTAACAGGGTTAAATAAACAAACTTTAAATTTGAACATTAACATTAAATAAAAAATATAGCTGGTTTCCTTTGGCTGCTTTGGCCACTTAATAAACAGAAAATAGATCAACACAAGAAATCTTTAAAATGTCTAACAATGAAATTAAAATAGCAGCAAGACTCCACATACTTGTGCTTTTGCTCCCCTAATAAATAAAAAAAGATTAACACCACAAGACATTGTTGGCATTTAACAAACAATGCAGCCTTTCCTTTTCAGTTATTTTAGTAGTGTTTTTGTAGACCATCCATGGCTCCAATTTCACTAATTGTGCCCAAAACAGTGCCATCAGTGCTCTTTACTTAAACAGTAAGAGTGTAAACCAAATAAAAATATCACTCTCAATAAACCAGAGCAGAAAACAAATAGTCAGTTCACTAAGTTGACCGCTACTCTTCCTACCCTGTGTGTGTCTGCCGTCTGCATGCTGGCCTGGTGGATTGATAGTAAGAGCTGGAGCGGATCACTGGAATGGACTGCTTGACTCGCGGAGCGCTGGGCTGGCCGGAGAACCTGGAGCGGATTCCGTGAAAAACTCGGATCGGAGTTCTTGGATCTGCATTTTTCCATGCAGTCTGATCCGATGCCTGTTTTTTGCTAGTATCGGCGGCTGACATCCCTAGAGTCTATGCACTAGCGTTCCCTGCGGTCTGTCTTGAGTTCCTGCCCATACACACATTTGACCAGTCGTGAGCAGCACCACCGATCCCGAGCACATCAGTTGGCACTCACCTGTCAGACATGATGTCACATCCCCATTTCATCGCATCAAATAACTTATTATAACCAAACTTTGCAAAACAAAATAACATTTGAACATTTTACCTAAAATGACAGAAACCCTGTTGGCATGTGTTTATCTTTTAGTTTGGCTCATGTCCCATCCACTAACATGGAGGGGGCGGGGCTTATGAGCTATACTGCAGCCAGCCACAAGGGGGCGATCTGGATGTTTTGGCTTCACTTTTGGGGAGCTGTCATGTCGTCCATCTTTATTATACACTCGTTACGTTAGCTAGCATAATACTGTTGACAGATATTAAAACTGAGAGTTAGAATTTCACCTCCTGTTTTATGCTGAAGAGGAGATGACCTGGGCTAACTACACCTCTCAAATAGTTTTCTCATCCAGACCCGTCTAGCCTTCTGCTTTTGTTTTCCTCGATACAATGCATTGTTAATATGACAGCGAGTTGTAGCACTAAGTCAGTGTCTGTTTTGCTGACATCTGCTCCCCCATGAGATCATGTGAGGTGGTGCATTCATGCTCCCTCTGGCATAATAATCTTAATAATATCCTGTAGTGTGCGATACATTCAAGCGCCAACCTCCAGAGCTGAAAAATGAAGCCAACGCGGAAGTGCCAAGAACTGCAGTTCCTTCAACGTCCACTTGAGGCTGGCTCCAAAAGTGTTTCCAGCCTGATACAAAAAACGGTCCGCCCTCTATAGCTAATTTCATAACGTTCGTGACAACTGTACAGGGGATGACTTTTTACATAACTGACTCATTAACATTTTATAAAAGCTTAAAGTTATGCATAATTAAGGGCAGGGCTGCTTGAGTGACAGGCCGCAGTCTGAGTCATATCCACCCCTCGCTCATCCACAGCTCTGTCCTCTCATCTGAATATGGTCAAGATGACGGCTGCCAGACTCGTGGCTTCATATCGGCAGTCCACAAACCATTGTGCGACGTCCATTATTTTATACGGTCTATGGATGCACCATTATTTTCAGATCTTGTAGTGTATGCATGTTTGAGATTAAAGAGAATCTGTAAAGTGTCTCCTTCTCCTGCGTGATGCAACCTGATTTCAAATTTGTTAGGATTTTAAAACTCCTGCAGTTGGGGTTCCGGCTTTAAAGGACGAAACATTAACCACAGCTTAGTGAAACCTTATTAAATCAGCCCCTAGTTGTGTCCCCAGACGTGATGTGATGTCTCAGCAAACTCAATTATTAATTGGGTGTAATAACTTTCCCTGCATAGGCATGCAGCTGACATACTGTTGAGAATCCCTGCTGTGGTAGTAAATACACCATATGACCACAACTGTAAATGTGTTTTATCGTCACAGCAAGTGCAGAGAGCTCTTTACAATATTTGACTGTCAAACCCACACTGTGAACTAGTTTCCATCCACTGTCTCCCTCCTCTGCAGTCAGACATTGGCCCGTTTCCTCACAACCAGACGGACAGCGGCACGTCAGGAGCGCCAGAGGAAGGCGGGATGTCTGGCGGCCCAAACAGGTTGGCCGATCCCGGGCACAGAGCTGGTGCTGACAGGCCCTGGAGGATGGAAGACTTGGAGGGGGAGCTGGAGAAGAAAGTAGAGCTGCTGGAGAAAGAGAGAAAAGCCCTGAGGCTAGAGACAGAGAAGCACAGGCAAGACATCGACCGCGGCATCAATAAACTCCACCACCGAATCTCAGGACTGGAGGCAGGTAGGTATCAACAGAGAGGAGGAGAAGAGAGAGTGTGTTTATTTGCATGTGTAAATGAAAATCTAATAAAGAAGTATACAAAATAAAGAGCGGAACGATATGTGACAGAGATGAATCACTTTCATGATGGCTCAAGTCAGTAATGATGAGAAATAATGTGGCATAAAAGTTACCTCAGATGTTTCATTTTTGTTTTATTCCTAATCAGATCATGCCATGGGGTTTCTTTATGATGAATAAATTATGCTTAACTTCTGTTAAAGAAAAAAAGATCAGAAAGACTATGAAATTCATGCCCTGCTTTAAAAATCTGATCAGATGTTTTGATGTGAAGAAAGTGCAGATACAGTATGTGGAAAAAAAAAGCAGGAAATCTATTTGATCCTCTTGCCAGATAGATGACTTAATTGCATTCCCTATCACTTCTTTAGCGTCCTTATTCATGCTCTGCGTCTGCTGTCCCAGGTGTCTCAGGGCATTCTTTCCCAGAGGGCTACAGGCTGTCCTTCCCAACTCGGACGAACTACATGTACGCTGTTGTGAAACACGCCATCCCAGCGTTGAGAGCCTTCACCATCTGCCTGTGGCTGCGGCCGGCAGAGGGAGGAATCGGGACGCCTCTGTCGTACGCTGTTCCCGAGCAACCCAATGAAGTGGTGCTGCTGCAAGGTCTGCATACCCCCGCTGAGCTGCTCATCAATGACAAGGTACTGCATCAGTCAACAGCCTGAGATTTCTACTGTGTGTGTGAACTGACCTGAACACTGCTGCTGTGTTATTGATTTTATGTCATGGTGTGTGGGTCATGTTTCAAACTATTTATTGATCAGAATCTTAACATGTTTTATTGAGTAGTCACAAAGCTTTCACAGTCTATAGACAGTCCACGTGTGTATATACACATCAGCCACTTTATTAGGTACACCTTGCTAGTACCAGGTTGGACCCCCTTCTTAATTCTTGGTGGCATAGATTCAACAAGGTGCTGGAAACATTCCTCAGAGATTTTGGTCCATTATGACTGTGGAGGCCATTGGAGTACAGTGAACTCATTGTCATGTTTGAGATGATGTGAGCTTTGTGACATGGTGCGTTATCCTGCTGGAAGTAGCCATCAGAAGATGGGTACACTGTGGTCATAAAGGGATGGACACGCTCAGCAACAATACTCAGGTAGGCTGTGGTGTTTAAACCATGCTCAGTTGGTACTAAGAAAATCTCCCCCACACCATTACACCACCAGCAGCAGCCTGAAGCGTTGATACAAGGCAGGATGGATCCATGCTTCCATCTGAATGTGGTTTTTCCAATCTTCTATTGTCCAGTTTTGGTGAGAAAACCCGTGTGAATTGTAGCCTCAGTTTCCTGTTGTTAGCTGACAGGAGTGGCACCTGGTGTGGTCTTCTGCTGCTGTAGCCCATCTGCTTCAAGGTTGGACAAGGTGTTGTTGCTTCAGAGATGGTCTTCTGCACACCTTGGTTGGAACCAGTGCTTATTTGACTTCCTGTTGCCTTTCTATCATCTTGAACCAGTCTGGCCATTCTCCTCTGACCTCTGGCATCAACAAGGCATTTTGGCTCACTGGATATTTTCTCTTTTTGGGACCATCCTCTGTAAACTCTAGAGATGGTTGTGCTGAAAATCCCGTGTGGCACCAACAACCATGCCACGTTCAAAGTCACTTCAATCACCTTTCTTCCTCATTCTGAAGCTCAGTTTGAACTTCAGCAGCTCGTCTTCACCATGTCTACATGACTAAATGCATTGAGCTGCTGCCATGTTAATGGTGACTGATTAGCTATTTGCGTTAACGAGCAGTTGAACAGGTGTACCTAATAAAGTGTCTGGTGAGTGTATATGGATACTTTTTATATGGTCATACGCTTATACAGTTGCAATCAAAATTATTCAACCCCCATTGCATATTAGGCCTAAATATACAATTTCTCAGCTGTTTGCAATAAACAAATTACACAAGAACTGTTTAAGTAGTTCAATGAAACTAATATTACAAGGGTTTTGATCCAAATTCAACACAAAATGATTACTCAGAATTATTCAACCCCTTCATGACGAGCATCTTCAGTACTTAGTAGAGCACCCTTTTGCTGTTATGACCTGCTGCAAACGTGATGCATAGCCAGACACCAGCTTCAGACAGCGTTCCTGAGGAATCTCAGCCCATTCCTCATGGGCAATGGCCTCCAGTTCATTAATATTCTTGGGTGTGCGTTTTGCAGCCGCCTTCTTCAAATCCCACCAGAGATTTTCTATGGGGTTCAAGTCAGGCGACTGTGACGGCCACTCTAGAATCTTCCATTTCTTCTTCTGAAACCAAGCCTTGGTGGACTTTGAGGTATGCTTTGGATCATTATCCTGTTGGAAGGTCCAATGACGCCCAAGCTTCAGCTTCCTCACAGACGGCACGACGTTTTTACCTAAGATTTCCTGATACTTGACTGAATCCATCATGCCCTCCACACGCTGCAGGTTTCCAGTGCCAGAGGCAGCAAAGCAGCCCCAGAGCATCACTGAGCCACCGCCGTGCTTCATTGTAGGCAGGGTGTTCTTTTCAGCATATGCTTCATTCTTCTTCCTCCAGGCATACCGCTGTTCTATAGGCCCGAAAAGTTCCAGTTTTGTTTCATCGCTCCACAGAATAGAATTCCAAAACTTCTGTGGCTTATTTATATGGTTTTGAGCATAATGGAGCCGACTTTTCTTGTGCTTTGGGTCAGTAGTGGTGTACGTCTTGGAGTCCCGGCATGGAGCCCTTCAGTGTTTAGTATGCGCCTTATTGTACAAACTGAAACCTCAGTGCCTGCCGCCACCATGTCTTGCCGCAGGTGTTTTGCAGTCACTCGAGGGTTTTTGACCACTTGCCTCCTCAGGAATCTGCTGGCAGCTGCAGACAGTTTCCTCTTTCTGCCACGTCCAGGTAGTGTAGCCACTGTTCCTTTAACTTTGAACTATGCTTCCAACTGTATCTCTAGGAACATTCAGAGCTTTTGCTATCGTTTTGTATCCTTTTCCTTATTTGTGCAAGGCAATGATTTCTTCTCTGAACTTTCTGGACAATTCTTTTGACTTAGCCATATTTCTAACATGCAATCAAACGTCACTCTCAACAAAACCCTAGCCAGTCCAGGTATTTATGTGTTCTATCTCAAGCACACCTGAACTAATGAAGCCCTTGATTAGTTGCACCAGGTGTGCTTGAGACAGGGGGTTGAATAATTTTGAGACTGCAGTAGTGATTAAAAGTAGAATTTTGCGTTGAATTTGGATAAAAACCATGGTAATATTAGTTTTATTAAACTATTTCAACTGCTCTTGTCTACTTTGTTTATTGCAAACAGCTGAAAAATTGTACATTTTGCCAATAAGCCTAATATGCAATGGGGGTTGAATAATTTTGATTGCAACTGTATTTGAAAATGCCATTATTACAGAATACTGACTCTACATTTGTAGTAGTACATTCTGTATAGTTACTTTAGGAAACTGATAAACTTGTATCTCACATACAGAGGACTTACTTTTGTTGCTAACTTTCCCTTAATAGAAATAATGGTGGACAGATAGTGTGTGAGAGACGTGACGGCAATCGATGTGAATATCTTTGTTCTTTAGTCATTTATCATCACCACAGTTTCACTCCTGCTCTCTACAAGGCTCGCCCACTTTTTGAAGTGTTACCAGTTGTATCTCTTGGCTTGATTAGAATTTTAATGTGTATTATAAAAGAAGTATTGCAGTGTATTAGCATACAAATAAGTAGAAGACATCATGTGAAAGAGCCAATTTAGCAGACAAGCTAAATAGCCTCATTCATGTGTTTAAATTGCAAAGTAATGTACCACCTTGACAGCGCTGCAGGGTGGTGGAGTGCAGTGCAGTGGCTTCAGGTATAATTCAATGAAGTCATTATGGTAATAGATGCCTGAAGGAAAAGTTCTGTGTCCTTGGAGGTAGCAGGATGTCTTTGGGACTGAGGGAACACTTTATAACAGCCAAGTGAAGAGACAAGGGAGAAATAAGATGTCAGAGTGCTGTACATGGTCTAGGAATGTCTTCGTCATCTGAGCTGTCCTTTTGCTGTCCCATTCCTAGGTGGCTCAGTTGCCTCTGAACCTCTCCAGAGGCAGCTGGCAGCACATCTGTGTGAGCTGGAGCCAGAAGGGAGGCGCCTGGCAGGCCTACCAGGGGGGAAAGCTGAGGGGCGAGGGTCACGCGCTGGCAGCCGGACATCACATCAGACCTGGAGGAGCGCTCATACTGGGGCAGGAGCAGGTGAGTGCATGAATGAGAGGGTGAAACACTGAATGAATTAGGTTTTCACTGATTAGAGGCGAGTAAGACTTACTTCAAAAGAAATCTAATTTGGTATGCCCTTCAGACTGCTGACTACAGAGCTGCAAGCAAATAAGAGTTTACAACCCGCTGCAGCTGAGGGTCTATTCACTTCCCGACTTCTCTGTGAGTTGTAAATAAAAGTAGTAAATAAAAGCCTGAAACACTCTGAGAGCCTTGGTGAAAGTAAGACACGGTAAATCTACAAATTCAATTGAGGTTGGAGTGTGCTGCCAGCCAGCGTGTTGAAGTGGTGTGCTGTGTAGCAGTGTTTGTGGACAAGGTGTGTGTGTGTGTGCATAATGGTCATGAGCAGCAAGGTTAACAGCCTCGGGGACCCTCATTCAAAACCAAAAGAACCAAGAATGGAGCCTTTGTTCATGAATCCTGCATTCATACTGGTCACTTTATATCACATCATCTTCCCACAAGCGAGTCCACCGTCTCGCCCGCAGCAGCAAAGCAGTGGAAGCTGAGCCTGTGTGGAAGCAGAAGTGTTTCTCTCCTCAACCACTTCCCTCTTCTCTCTCTCTCTCCAGGATTCCCTTGGTGGAGGCTTTGACTCATCCCAGGCTCTGGTCGGAGAGTTGTCCCAGGTGGGTCTCTGGGACCGGGTCCTGTCTTCCAACCAGGTTGCCAGCTTGGCCCGCTGCGGCAAAGTAACCCAAGGCAGCGTGGCCCCCTGGACCGAGAACGGAGTTGAGGTTCACGGCGGAGCAACCAAGGACCCGGGGGAGCCTTGTAGTAAACACAACAGGAGTTCTCAATGACCGATGGGGGAAGGGGAAGTGAAGATAAGACGGGCGAAGGCAGGGGTGAAGTTGTAGCCTTTTCAAGAAGTAGGATTTGTGCCAGGATTTTTAAACAACTCTACATGGACTGACAAGTATGTAAAAAATGAAAAATTATGGTTAATATCTATATGACTTATGTCGAGGCTTTGCAGTTACTTCACACTTCTGATGCCATCATGGAGGGCCATGGAAAATGTACAATACAAGTAAAAACTATGTAAAGTGTAATAAAGTAAGCTCCTCTGCGCTTTGTTAGCAAACTAGCTAGCAGCCTAATTAGTGAAAGCAACTAATGTGAATACTAGCAAACAGCTGAACCTTCTGCGAGTTACTAATGAGTGAGTAAATGTAAAAGCACAGACGACACAACACAGTGAGGGTTAGCTTAGCAAAACTAGTATGATTAGCTCGCTAACAAATTATCATTATCTAACCTGGAAAATATGCTTATTAGCTTGATGAGAAGAACAATATCACTCTCATGTTTGCAAATTATGTCAGAGCAGCCAGCTAATTTAGCTTAGCATGAAGACTTTAAATGAGGAAACCGCTAGCGTGGCTCTGTTCAAAGTGACAAAATCCATCGACCAACATTTCTAAAGTCCACTAATTAACATAGAGTGTCTTGTTTGTTTAACACAGTGGTTCCTAACTGGTGGGTCTTGGGTCGTGGGTCCGCTCTGAAGTTTGTAAAAAATACACTTTATTTTCAAATCCAATGCTTTTCTGGCACAGAGCTTTTATTTTGAAGTGTCATTTACTGCTGTCCAGAGTAAATAACCAATAGCTACCTAACAGAGACAGCAAACTAGCTCAACGGCCAGGCCAAATTCTAGTATAATGCTGAATTAAACAGGGTGGACCTTGAAGTAATGACTGAGGACAAATCTGGACCCAGTGGCCAGACCAGTTGGGAAGCACTGGTTTAATGTATACAAAAACCAAAGTGTAGAAACGTTTAGTCATTTGTGCCGTTGAACGATGACAATATTCTTAAGCCCCTTTTACACTGCCAGATTTTCGGCGAATGTTGGGCCGTTTTGCTGGCAAGCTGCGGGCGTTTAGACACCGATGGTGATCCGAGGTGCCCAATTTTCCACCTCGTAGGGTAGACATGTTGGTGGAACCTTTTTGGTTTGAAAAGAACAAGGTGGCCTTCCGCCACGGGAGGGACTGTTGAAGACTTGTGGGAGGAGCTGTTGATGACGCAGCATGTGCGACCCACTGGCGGTGGATAAACAGGAAACAGCTGATAGCAGGAATTAGCGAGCAGCTAGTAGCAAGAGGGAAACACAAACCTGACAGACACTGTAAAGATGAGCAACTGGGGAGACAAGGAATTGTGCGCCCTCCTTGTCCTCGCAAACGAAGAGGCCATTAACCGTCAGATGACGGGGACGGTGAAGGACGGGCTGCGGCTTCCCTCCCACGTCACTGTTTACGTCACACGCTGAGCTACACGTTTTGTTACTTGCTCACGCCCCCCATTGCCCCGAAAAAGGCGCATTCTGTATAAACAAAAGTAGGTAGGCGGCATTTTACTGCACTCCCCGATTTTGTTTTTATACTGCCAATGCTGAAAAAACATTGATTGAGCTTTCCTGCAAATTTGCACAATTCCTATCTAAAAAGGGCTTTTGCTAAATGCAGAGCATCAGGCACCGTCTATACATACACAGAGATTTCTGAAAAGAGTTTTTGTTCCCCCTCGGTTTTAAAACTTGTTCCACCATCTGCTGGTTCAACTGGGTTTCTGGCAGACTTTAAATTGTGTCCTGGTGGACTAAATAACACCGAGCGCTGCAGATGGCTTCATTCGTCCATAAAGGGTTGTAGCAATACAAAGTTAAAATATAAAGTATTCATTACACAAAATAATCTTAACAAAACATGAGTAAACCAGTGAGTATTGAGGATAAAACTGGTGGTTGGTATCACGTCTGGCGTATGCTCATCACACAGGGGGCATGCACAAATTCAGGAGAGGATGTCATTGTTTCCCAAATGCTCCATTTTACACGTCCGCACAGATACAAAGTAACCAGAGTTTTGAAAAATCTGCACCTAAGAAGGTATTTTTAAAATTCTGTTTGCGTGTGGACAGGTGGCTGAAATGCAAAAGGAAAATATCTGCTTACAAAAATATCTTAATACTTGTAGACATTTGGACAAAGTTATGCTAGCTGTTGCCAGTCTTTATGCTAAGCTAAGCTAGCCAGCTGCTACTAGTAGCTTCATACTTGGTGTACATACATGTGAGTGATATCAATCTTCTTATCAACCTCTCAACAAGGACGCCAACAAGTGTACGTCCCAACTTTTCCTTGATCAGATCAGTTGAGATGTCATTTAACAGCTAAAACTGTGCAAATGGCCGCTGACTATTTATTCTGTTGAGGCTGCCGCGCTGGAGAAATACAATAAGTTGTTCTGCTGAAGCTGAAGAGCTGCTGACCTCCACTATGGCTGCCAGAAGTTGTGTAAAGCCAGCTGAAATCCCTCCATGAGTGCAGCAGGGTCGGAGTGGAGTTAATTAAGGGCTGCGACAGCTTTAGAGTTGGGAGTCAAGGTAAGGTGATGAAAAGTGTGGAAGAAAGTGGGGGGAATGTTAAGTAGATGGCAGCGAGTGGTAGATGATGAAAGAGAAAGGAAAGAGGGAGGACGGGGGAAAATAGATAGATTGGACACTTCTAAGGAGCGATGCTTCATTGTTTTCACCTCTGCATGATGTATTCATATACCTGTAATGTCTTGCCACTGCACTGTGCAGCTCACAAGTTTCATAAAAGAGGACAGTGCCTCCTGCGCCCGAGGCTGGCGGGAGGCTGTGTCTGTGTTTGTCTTTTAAGGCCTGACGGTCTCTGAAGTTACTCAACAAATCCAAAACAAGTCTTACTCCCTAAGGAAATCACCACCACAAGCCGAATGTTACTCTTTTTGGGGGCATTTTACACTTTTCTGACAAGCCTTTGCCCCATTTATGTCATCCAGTGCAAATTTAGAAAATCAAGGTCAAAGCATGTGAGCTCTGATCGAGGAAATCTGTCTCAGATGGCCAGTTTTGGCTTCATCTTGTAGCACACTTTAGGCTTGTTTGAGATGAGCCAGCCCGACGCAGACCTGGTTGCACTGCATGATGGTTAGTCATTTTGTCAGACTTGCTCTGGAGACTCAACCAGCGTGAGACATGGAAATCCATTGGGACAAAAATGGATACAGTTTTGAGAGCGAGCCGCCGCAGTTTGTCTCCACGAGCTGCAGAAGCACAATACTTGAAGGGAAACAACTTGCCAGCAGATTGAGCTGAGCGCTAATTGGGAGTTTTACCCCATGCTGTTGATTTCCAACTGGCTCCAAAAAAAGCTTTAGCTCACCACTCACAATTAAAAGACGACACTTCCACTGTAAGTTTTCATTATTACCTACGTTGAGGAGGTTATGTTTTTGGTTTGGTTTGTTTGATGTCAGCAAGTTTACAGAAAAACTACTGGCCTGATTTTAATGGAACTTGGTGGAAGCACGGGCCAAGGAAGAGCTCATTAAACTTTGGAGCAGACCAGAGTCACGAGCGGATACACTTTCAGTAACATTGCAAGATAATGCATCTGGCCTTGGTTGAGGTCTGCGCTCTCCAAGTGCCCCTCTGGTTCCACAGTGCTTTTCTGCATGACCTTAAAGGTTCAGTGTGTAGGATTTAGTTGTATAATAGCAGTGAAGTTGCAGATTGCAACCAACTGAAGCTCCTCCCGTGAAGGAGAACTATGGTGGCCGACACATAAACAGGGACGGCCCTATCAAGAGTGTTTGATTTGTCTGTTCTGGGCTACTGTAGAAACAACATGGCAGACTGCAAGGGAGAGGACCTGCTCCAAATGTGGGTCTAAATGGCTCATTTTAAGGTAACAAAAAACACAATTATTACTTTCAGGTGATTTAACACTAAAGATGACATAGTCCTGACCGCATTTCCCCCGTTTTAGCCTCACTCCACTGGCTGCCCATACACTTTAGGATTCATTTTAAAATTCTTTTATTTGCTTTTAAATCCCTAAATGGTCTTGCCCCGTCCTACCTCTCTGAGCTGCAGCATATGTATTCACCTACCCTCTCTCTCAGGTCAGCTGATCAGCTGCTCCTGAGTGTGCCAAAAACTAAGCGCAAGCTCAGAGGGGACCATGCTTTCACTGTGGCAGCTCCTAAAATGTGGAACGATCTGCCTCTGCACATGAGACAGGCGTCTTCTCTGTCTATTTTTAAATCTCTTCTTAAAACCCATCTCTTCTCCCTGGCCTTTGACACCCTGTAAGACGTTGGTTTTATTTTGTTTTATTGTTTGTTTTATTTTATTTTATTGTTTGTTTTTATTGTATAGCTGTTATTTTTTACAAATGTTTTATGTCTCTTAATTTATTTTATTTTCATTTTATGCCTTGTACGAGCTGTTTTGTCTTTTATTTATTGTTTTTTATTTATTCTTCTGTACAGCACTTTGGTACTCTGTGGTTGTTTTAAAGTGCTTTACAAATAAAGTTGGATTGGATTGGCATAAAATATATCATTTGTGCTAATATATCCCTAGATCTTACACCCTGGACCTTTAAGCAGTAACAAACATATTTAATTAGTACATTCCTGACATTAAAAAGTTGTTGATTCTCCTTAAATCGAAACAGGTCAAAACCAACATCTAAAATCTTTTGGAAAAGTAATAAACTGTTCTGCCTTTACATGCAGTGTCAAACTGCCTTGTGTTGATTTGTTTGAAAATGAAGACACTAGAGTCTCATTAATTTTTAGTGTTTTGCCATTGTTGCCATTATTGCTGCTGCTCTATCACTCTTATTTATTTACTGTATCTCTGCGCCTCTGTCTTGTTTGTTTTCTGTATCTGTATTTAAAGGTCCAGTGTGTAGGGTTTAGGGGGATGTGTTGCATAAATGGAATATAATAAATATAATATACTAAGTATTTTTTCTTTAATGTGTATTTACCTGGATTTAAGATTCATTTTATTTTTGTTACCTTAGAATGAGCTGTTTATACCTGCAAAGGAAGCGGGTCCTCGTCGAAGGAGATCACCATGTTGCAACACCTTTTTGCAGTATCCCATGACAGACAAACCAAACACTGGCTCCAGTGTCATGTTTTTGCATTTTCATGTCGGCCACCATCATTAGCAGCCCCTCAGTGACGAGTCAAACAGCTTCAGAAAAACAGATTTTTAACGTGAAATCACCCGATCGGTTTGTTTTGGAGAGAAAAAGACTTCTGCGGATAATTTGGCTCCTGGTAAAAACCTCCTGAACATCTGGATATTATGTTATCAGAGAAAAAAGATGAGCAATGATTAGCATGTGGTGGGCGAGCCACCCATCTCTGACAGGCAAAACAGTGAAGGAAGAGCACTGATTTATTAAAGGAAAGTGTTTTTACCAGTTTAGCCACCTGGTCTGTTTGTTTTGGAGAAGAGACCTCTGCGGATAATTCGGCTCCTGATAAAAACATCCTGAACTAAAGATACTGAGGGAAACCTAACCAGAACTTTCAGCTGGCTGCAACCCCCAATCTTTGTCACTGGATGTCACTAAATCCCACAAAATTTTCCACACTGTTCCTTTAAGCAGCTTCGAAATTATTTTTAAAAAAGCTAAAATTGATCTATAAAGTGAAGCAATCAGTCAGGAAGCAGTGGCTTAAATTTATATTAACACTACCACAGATGGGGTGCATCATGTCCATCTCCATACAATAATTGTGGGATTTCTATTGCATCCACTTCAGTTTGCCTTTGCAAGTCAAATCAAACCAACACTCCAGGGACGCTCTGCGTACCTCCACCTGCTGCAATCAGCTACTCTTGTTTTCAAGGCTCATCTCAAACAATCCTTTTATCTTCTTTAAATTCATGGTCTTGAGTGCAGCCTTCAAACATGCACAACATATGTTATTTTCAAATTTACATACTGCACTCGTAGTCACTTCAGCATTCGTATGTATCGACTGTTTCCTCTTTGCAATTTTATACATGATGCAACCACTCAATAATGTGGTTTGAGAAATGAACAACCTCCAACTGTTCCAACCTTCCTACATTCCATGCATGAGTTGTACTGTTTGTTGGTTTCATGCCTCGGTGCGTCTTAATGATT